TTACGTAGCCATTCTCTAGCTGAGGGAAACTTGGTTGCTTCCCAGGTAACAGATAAAGCCACTATATACATTTGGTGCAGGTTTATGTGTAAACATAGATTTTCATTTCTTTGGGTAGATACCTAGGGGTGAAATGGCTGCGTTGTATGGTAAGTGCATGTTTAAGTTTTAAGAAACCATCAAACTGTTTTCTAAAGAGGTTGTACTATTTTACATTTTCCTCAGCAATGGATGAGAGTTTCATTTGCTCCACAGCCTCATCAACAGTATTTATTGTCAGTCTCTTTAATTCTAGCCGTTCTAGTGGTTGTATAATGGTATGACATTTTGGGTTCAATTTGCATTTCCCTGATGAATAATGAGCATCTTTTCCTGTGCTTATTGACCATTCATATATCTTCTGAAGTAAAATCCCTGTTGAAATCTTTTGCCCATTTTTAAATAGGGTTATTTGTCTTCTTATTATAGGTTTGTAAGAGTTCTTTATATATTCTGAATACAAATTGCTTTTCAGATACATGTGCTGCTAATATTTTTTCTCTGTGTCTGGCTTACATTTTCATTAATGATGTCTTTTGAAGAGCAAAAGTTTTAAATTTTGATGAAGTACAGTTTATCAAATTTTTATAGACCATGATTTTTGTGTTTTAAAGAAATCTTTGTCTAATCTTTTTTTTTCCTAAAAGTTTTATATTTTAGCATTTAAATTTATATATGACACATTTTGAGTAATTTTTTTTGTATGGGGTGAAGGATCAAGGTTCACTCTTTTTATTTGGATATCCAGTTGTTCCACTGCCATGTTTTGAAAGGCTATCCTTTCCTCATTGACTTATCTTGGAACTTTTGTCAAAAATCAATTGACCATATATGTATGTAAAGTTACAATAATCAAGACATGAACACTGTCTTAATTACTGTAATTTTAAAGTTGTAAAATCAGGTAGGGTAAGTTCTTCAACTTTATTCTTCTTTATCAATATTGTTTTGGTATTCAAGGTCATTTGATTCACAGGTAAATTTTAGAATCAGCTTGTCAATTAAAAAATTTTGCTGGGATTTTGATTGAGATTGTGTTGAATTTATAGCTCAATTTGGAGAGAATAAACACCTTAACTATATAGAGTCTTTTGATCCATGAGCATGGTGTATCTTTCCATTTATTTAGGTTTTTTAAAATTTCTTTCAACAATTTTGTAGTTTTTCACTATACAGCTCTTGTACATATTTTCTTTTTTTTTTTTTTGAACCTTGAAAATTTAATGCTGAGGGAAATATCAGTCACAAAAGGACAAATACTATATGACCTCACTTATACAAAATAAGCAAATTTATAGAAACCAAAGATGATTAATTGTCACCAGAAATGGAAGAAAGGGGGAAAGGAGGAGTTTTTGTTTGGGAGGCAATGAGTTTATGTTAATGGTGGTAGAATATTTTGGAAAAGAATAGTAATAGTGGTGGTACAACATGAAAAATGTGATCAATGTCATTGAATTGTAAACGTAGAAGTTGTTGTATTGTTGAATGTTTTGGTGTGTATATTTTCACCACAATGATAAATAAATACATAAATTTGGAAAATAGATCCAGGAATGATATCTGCTTTAAAAAAATTCTAGAAAGAAAAAAGTGAATTAAGGATAAATAATAAACAAGCAATAATCAAAGAAATAATTTTAAAAATACTTCATAAAAACACCTAAATCTACAGATCAAAATGGCATACCAAGTGACAGGGTGAACTGTGAAGTAAAGATCTGCACCTAGATCTATTTTGCTTAAATTTCTGAATTCAAGGAACACGGAAACACAAAACCTTGCAAGCATCCAGCTAGGAAAAATAAACCAACAAATGAAGGAGAAACAGAATCACGGCATAGCGGAAGGCAGGGCAGCATTTTTATAGAGTTCTGGACGAAAAAGGTCTATAATCTTTGACTTCTATACCCAGCCAAACTATGTTTTGTTTGTGATAATAAAAGAAAGATATTTTTCAGATTTGCAGCACTTCAGAAATTCAGCAACATTTATAAAATTTAATTCCAAGAGGAAGCAATCCAGCAAATAAACAATGAATCAGAATGGAGAATTCGAGGAAAGGTAAAACAAAATATTCAAAAAACAATGGTATGCACTAAAAGCAAAAATGCTTACAATTAAATCTAAATATTTGTTGATAATAAACCAAACCAGAATCAAACGAGTTGATTCTGACTCGGCGGCAACCCCACATGTCTTGCATATATTTTCTTAAATTTATCCATTAAGTATTTCATGTTTCTTGATGAAATTGTAAATAGTATTTTTAAAAATCTTATTTTCCAGTTGTTCACTTGCTAGTATATGGAATACAATTGATTTTTTGTCCTGGGAAGCCTGCCACAATGAAGCAGCCTCTTTTTGTACCTTGGACACTCCAATCTCCCTTCAGCTTCAGAAACTTTGCATCTGCCGTTCCTCATGCCTGGCATGTTCTTTCCCTAGCTCTTTTCACAGCTTACTTCTTTCTTATCCTTCAGATCTCAGTGTAAATGCCATCTTTTCACAGCCCTTTTTTGATAACCTGATCTAAAATATCCACTGACCCTTCCATATTATGTAATCTTATTTATTTCCTTCATAACACTTTTCACAATGTTCCTTATTTATTTTCTGACCTTTCCCTCTCCTGTCCCACTGTAATATAAGTTCCTTGAGGGTAGAGGTCCTGTCTGTCTTATTTATAGTGGCATCCCCAATGCCTACAACATGTATCTTCAAGGGCCTAGAACAGTTCCTGGCACACAGAATATAATAAATATTTTTAATAGACTAACTTGATGGGGGAGGTGTCAGGAAATGCTTCACAGAGGAGGTGACACTAAGTTCAGTCTTAAAAAATGAAGAGGATTTGGTTATTTAGGCACTGATTAGTAGAAGGAATAATCAGCAGTAATTAGGGTATTTATCCTGGTTATGTATATACCTGGTTATGTATTTATAATCATTATGCAGGACTAAAATGACCAAGAAGTAATCACTGTGGGCAAACCTGCTTGACCTTAAAATCACAGAGAAAAAACCTTTCTTTGGGATCGTCTCGAGGTTAGCAGCTTTGTCCTGCTATCAAATTCCCTTTTTCTGCTCTGAGTTAAAAGTGTAACAGAATAAGATTTTAAAACTAATAACAGTAACAAATAAATCTTGGTAGTTATAATAATTAACAACTAACCAAATTTTTCAAGATATATTCGCCACTCATTACTGAATATCTGTTTGCCAAATACATTGCTTAGAAGCTGGGCTCACAAAAACACTTAGGAAAAATACTTATCACACCTGTATAATTGATCCAAACTGATGCCAATCTAGGAGATGGGAAATCTTCACCATTCTCTCCCCAGGGAAGGTACGCTTATCTGCTCAGCTACTCTGTTCCCAGTTCCCAGGCATTCTCTACTCAGAGCAAAGACTGGTACTCCAGGCTTTGTCATTTTGAAGAGGATCACATATATAGTATTTCTGATATAAGACCACCTGTTCTATCACAAACAATACAAAATCGTAGGACAATTAAATATTCTGATAATGAATACAAAATGTCCAGTGATAAAAATCTAGAACACTCTAAAAATGTAAATATGTTTGAATTCAGAATTTATCTTGTGAACTCCTTACATGCTTCATATTGTAAGTTGAAACAACTAATCGACTGGAGCTTCCTTATGGTCTTTTTATTTTAAACATTTGCCCTGTTTGTTTAATCACATTTTGGATATCTTGAGGAATTCATTTGTATGAGAATATGTATACCAAAAAAACCAAACTCATTGCCATCAAGTCGATACCAACTCATAGCGACCCTACAGGACTGTAACTGCCCCATAGGGTTTCCAAGGAGCAGCTGGTGGATTCGAAATGCTGACCTTTAGGGTTAGCAGCCAAACTCTTAACCACTGTGCCACCAGGGCTCCTGAATATGTATATATTTATTTATTTAATTATATTAAATATAATTTATATTTATTTACTTGTATAATTATCTATTGCTTATAGCAGTCATGGGATGAGCCACGTTAACAGGTCTGAATTTGGAAAGAAGGCCAGGGATAGCATTTTTTAGGATCAGTGGAAGATTGTCTGGAAGTACTTCTGAAAACAAGAGCTCTGTTTAGGGGGGAAAGGGAGCCTATTCTTCCTCCTCTGTTCCCTACCTAAAGAAATTATACCACAGTCCATCCCATTGCTAAACCAGAAAATACAAGCTCGTGGCAATGATTCAGCTCACAGATGATTGTCTCCAGGAAGCCTTCCTTATCCCCAGCTGAGTTAGGGCCACCACCAACCCAAAAAACCAAACCTGTTGCCATCGAGTCACAGCACTTATGAAAACAGAATCACGTTGTAGTCTCATTACTTGTTGATGGTGAGTTCCTTGAGGCCAAGGACTACCTTTCCCTCCTCTGTTCTATACCACACAGTACATTCCCTGACAAATACGTAGGTATCCAGTGCATGTTTGAATGCATAAATAATCAAATGAATATGGCATGATATGAGATAACATGACAAGAATATAGGTAGTGAAAATTAGAATAAGTTCAAGATCCAGGGTACTTCCTCAGATAGTAGCAGCCAGGAGAGAGTTCAGTGCTAGTCACAGTTACTAGAAACTCATTCAATGAGAGATCAGAGTTAAGGGGCAAGAAATCTAGTCTCTCGAGAAAATGTTTGATGCAAAAATAATACAGAAAGGGAAAAAAGCATGTATTTCCTTTCAGAGAAAGTTTTTTCTGTTGATGAGGGATGGAGGCATTGAGGTATGGAGGAGAAAGCCAGGTAAGAAGGCAGAAATATGCAAATAAATATACTAAGAAGTAGAAATTCATAAGCCAGTTACAGAACAAATCCAGATTAGTTTTTAAGGTGATATATTTTATAGCTAATTCAAAACGTAAGTTTTCTTCCATGAAAATTTTATGTAAATATTTTTTTAAATTGATTTTTCTCTACAGTACCTTCACATGCAGAAGTTGGTTGTCAACTGCTATGAGCTGATTAAGATTCTCCAGCATTTCTAAGTCTCTTATGTCATCAATATTATTGTTGCTGATATTCAATATAGAGAGGGATTTCTGTAAGAAAAATAACTAAATTAGCATATTAAAGTGTCTATTTAAATACTATGTATAAAACCAAAAAGCAAACCCATTGCAGTCAAATTGATTTAGACTTATGGTGACTCTATAAATGTTGTTATTGTTGTTGTTAGGTGCCGTTGAGCTGGTTCCAACTTACAGCGACCCTATGTACAGCAGAATGAAACACTGCCCGGTCCTGCACCATCCTCACAATTGTTATGTTTGAGCCCATTCATTGTTGCAGCCACTGTGTCATTCCATCTCATTGAGGGTCTTCCTCTTTCTCACTGACCTTCTACCTTACCACACATGGTGTCCTTCTCCAGGGAGTGGTCCTTCCTCATAACATGTCCAAAGTACGTGAGATGAAGTCTCACCATCCTTGCTTCTAAGGAGCATTTTGGCTGTATTTTTTCCAAGACTGACTGGTTCATTCTTCTGGCAGTCCATGGGATATTCAGTATTCTTCAACAACACCATAATTCAAAGGCACCAGTTCTTCAGTCTTCCTAATTCATCGTCCGCTTTCCCATGCATAGGAGGCAATTGAAAATAACATGGCTTGGGTCATGCACACCTTAGTCTTCAAAGTGACATCTTTGCTTTTCAACCCTTTAAACCCTTTAAACCCTTTGCAGCAGATTTGCCCAGTGCAATATGTCATTTGATTTCCTGACTGCTGCTTTCATGGGCTTTGATTGCTGATCCAAATAAAATGAAATCCTAGACAACTTCAATATTTTCTCCACTGATCATGATGTTGCTTATTGTTCCAGTTATTAGGATTTTTGTCTTCTTTATGTTGAGTTGTAATCCATACTGAAGGCTGTAGTCTTTGATCTTCATCAGTAAGTGCTTCAAGTCCTTTTCACTTTTAGCAAGCAAGGTTATGTCATCTGCATATTGCAGGTTGTTAATGAGTCTTCCTCCAGTCCTGATGCCACGTTCTTATTCATATAGTCCAGCTTCTCAGATTGTTTGCTTAACATATAGATTGAATAAGTATGGTAAAAGGATACAACCCTGATGCACACCTTTCCTAATTTTAAACCAGACAGTATCCATTTGTTCTGTTTGAAAAACTGCCTCTTGGTCTATGTACAGGTTTTGCATGCACATAATTAAGTGTTCTAGAATTCCCATTCTTTGCAATGTTATCCATAATCTGTTATGATCCACACAGTTGCTGACAAATTGATTCTGACTCATGGTATCCCCATGTGTATCAGACTAGAACTGTGCTGCATAGAATTTTCAATGGCTGATTTTTTGGAAGCAGATTGCCAGGCCTTTCTTCCAAGGAGTGTCTGGCTGGACTTGAACTTCCAACCTTTCAGTTAGCAGCTGAGTGCTTTAACTGCTTGCACCATCCAGGGCATTTATTTCTAGTGCCCCAGAATTGAAACCAACCTATCTGTTGTGTACTGAATTACTTAATATGGCCATTTTAGCCATGCATGGTCTTGTAACTCCCATTCAATGATTGGGTGGGACTATGCAAATAAGGTGCTCATGGCCCACCAAGGGGATTGGACAGCATTGATAATAATGCAGATAAGGTGTATGGAACCCCCGTGGGGGTAGGACCCTGCAAATAAGGTGTATGGAACCCTAACAAGGGGATTGGTCAGTTTTGCCATCCCACTATGCTTAAAAAGACAGCCAATCCCAGAGCAAGGAGGGGAACTCACTACCATCAAGAAAGAAGAGCCAGGAGTGGCGCGTGTCCTTTGGACCTGGGGTCCCTGCTCTGAGAACCTCCTAGACCCAAGAGACAGAGAGAAAGAGCTGTAACACCAGAGATGGTGCAAGACGGCGAGAAGCAGTGACAGAGAAATGGTGGTAGACAAATGGTTGCAGCAGAACCAAAACCCTGGCTCAAGACGGCATGGTGGGCTTCCTGGCCCATGGACTAAGGTGGCTACAGTGGGCTTACTGACCCATGGACAAGAGAGCTGAGAGCCTTTGGGCAGGAAGCTTGCTGTCAGAGTAGGGTGCCTCTGGGCACTTAACGCTAGAGCTAAAGGGGTTTTTAACACTTGCCAGAGTAGGGCAGAGGCCAGGCCTGAATGAGGCCAAGGGCCCAGGGCCAAAAGAGGAGGCCTGCCCTAAGGGGCCAAGAGGAGCCTGTCCTGAGAGAGCTGAGGGGAGCCTGTCTTCAGAGGGCTGAAAGGAGCCTGTCCTCAGGGGCCTGAGAGGAGCCTGCCCTCAGGGGATTGAGAGGAGCCTGTCTTCAGGGGCCTGAGAGGAGCCTGTCTTCAGGGGCCTGAAAGGAGCCTGTCCTCAGGGGATCAAGAGGAGCCTGTCTTCAAGGGCCTGAAAGGAGCCTGTCCTCAGGGGATCAAGAGGAGCCTGCCCTCAGGGGATGGAGAGGAGCCTGTGTCTTCAGGGGCCTGAAAGGAGCCTGTCCTCAGGAGATCAAGAGGAGCCTGTCCTCAGGGGATCGAAAGGAGCCTGTCCTCAGGGGCCTGAGAGGAGCCTGTCCTCAGGGGCTCGAGAGGAGCCTGCCGTCAGGGGATCAAGAGGAGCCTGCCCTCAGGGGATCAAGAAGAGCCTGCCCTCAGGGGATTCAGAGGAGCCTGTCTTCAGGGGCCTGAAAGGAGCCTGTCTTCAGGGGCCTGAAAGGAGCCTGTCCTCAGGGGATCGACAGGAACCTCCCTTCAGGGGATCGAGAGGGGCCTGTCTTCTGGGGATTGAGAGGAGCCTGTCTTTAGGGTGCCAAGAGGAGCCTGTCCTCAGGGGATCGAGAGAAGCCTGTCTTCAGGGCACCAAGAGGAGCCCTGCATGACTGAGAAGAGCTGAGAAGGTTGTCCTGCACTGAAGAAGGGAGACTTTGCCTATATGCTTTCAGATCCTTATCCCAAGTTGTAGTCTGTTGTTCCTGATCCCCAGTTGTAACCTGTTACTTCCCTAATAAACCCCATAATTGTGCGTATTGCCTGTGAGTTCCGTATGGCCACTGCAACGAATTATCAAACCCAGCAGAAAAGCAAAGAGTGCGATGGGAGGGATGGCTGGTGTCAGAATTGGTAAAAAGGTTGGAGGGTGGAAGTATGTTTGACCTGCATCTCATAGGAATCAGCGCTGGCCTGATGTTGATCTTGATTGTCTCTTCTCCCTCTTGTGAAGTTAGATGAGGTCAGACACCGCTGCATCATGTTTACACTAACCCAACGAATTCCCTGTCCTGAGGATTAGCAAGTACATCAGTGGCACCCTCTAACTTCTCAAGTCATTGTGATACCTCCATATGAGGTGACTGGTTGTCAGGTGACACAATCACTTATATCACTCTTGAACCCAGTGCTCTCAGACCTACATGGTTCTGATGAGGCAGAGCCGTTTGTAGCACAACCTATAATCCAATCAGAATCCAGGAAGAAAGTGTCTTACTATAGTAATGGCTGTCTGTTGTTGTGTGCCGTTGAGTGGATTCCCAGTCATAGCAACCCAATGTGACAGAGCAGAACTGCCCCACAGGGTTTCCTAGGGCTGTAATCTTTATGGAAGCAGATCACTAGGCCTTTCCTCCCTTGATGTGGCTGGTGGGTTTGAACTGCTGACCTTTAGGTTAGCAGCCAAGCGCTTAACCATTTTGCCCTCAGGGCTCCTTTAATGGCTGTCTAGGTGGCTTAAAATTCAACAAATAATTGGGCGCTCCTCTTTCCTTAGGTTTTCCCTAAAATTTTAAATTGTGAGCCATGATAACCACCAAGGCCCAAATTGTGAATGAACCAACATCTGTATTAGAACTTCATAGTTTACATAACTTTTTCACATCCTTCATTTGATCCTTTTAATTATCCCTGCTTTGTAGATGCTGAGTCTTTGAAAAATTATGCGGGAAAAATTAGCTTTATCTTTCAAAGAAGCTCTCAGCAGGCCATATACACATGCAGAGTATTTATAATGTCCAAATATACCTTCACCATTTTCCTGTTCCATTATAGCATGTTAATCACTATATTCCTTGTCAAAATACTTAAATGGTCCTTACTGCCAGAGAATGAAGAGTTCTTGGATCAAACAGAAGTTTTTCTCCTAGTGGGAGCCTCTGACTCTCAACATGAAGCTCTCTTAGTTCTTCCAATCCTTCTAAACCTTCTATGACAGCAATGTAATTGCCACCCAGATACCTGTAAAACAAAGACATAATTCTAAATAAATATTTTTGAGAACGTAAACATGATAAAAACATAATAGAAGTCATTGAGCTATGATAAATTTATACATGCAGAATGTTGTTTATATTGAACCCGTGAAAAAGTTCATCTGAATGACAAATTTATTCTTAAACTTCATTTAATCTAAGAAATAAGTTTTTAATTTTTTTTAAAGTGAGAGAATTGAAATGGTCTTTATTAAACTCTGTATCAAACCAAGAAACCAAACCTATTGTCATCGAGTTGATTCCGACTCATAGTGACCCTGTAGGACAGAGCAGAACTGCCCCATAGGGCTTCCAAGGCGAGCCTAGTGGATAAAAATTGCCAACCTTTTGGTTAGCAGCCAACTCTTAACCACTACGCCACCAGGGTTTCCATAATTCTATCAGTAATTCTCAAATGATAGGTTGCATAAGAATCACCTGGGTTGCAGGTTTAAAAATGCAGATTTCTGGACTTAACCCACAGAGATTCTGATTTGCAGGTCAAGGTTGGAATGTGGTAATCTGCATTTTGAATAAGCATTACTCACCCTACTCTTATCTCCCCATTCTGAGGCCTTTGACCAACTTTTTAAGAAGCACTGATAGTTCTTCCAATTTGGGGAAGTTGGATCCACCAGTTTTCATTGTCTAATAATCATTAGAAACAGACAAAAAAAACTCGCTGCTGTCCAGTTGATTCTGACTCATAGTGACCCTGTAGGACAGACTAGAACTGCCCCACAGGGTTTCTAAGGTTGTAATCTTTACGGAAGCAGACTGCCACATCTTTTCTTCCGTGGGGTGGCTGGTGGGTTCGAACTACCAACCTTTCAGTTAGCAGCCTAGCGCTTTAACCACTGCACCATCAGGGCTCCTCAATAGGCCGTAAAAGCCTTTTAAAATAAAATCTACATGGACATCATTACCTCTACGACCCTGTCCTTCTGAGATGTGAGCTCCTGAAAGGCAGACTCATCTAGGTTCCATAGGACTTTTTCTCCAGGTGAGCCTAAGTGAGGATATTTTAGGTGTCCCTGTGGGGTCGCTATGAGTCGAAATCGACTTAACCGCAATGGATTTTTGGGTTTTTTTATGAGTAGAAATTAACTCAACGGCACCTGACAGTAACAGCAACAAACCCTTAAAACAACTCACCACCACCCCGCCCCGAAAGAAAAGTATCGGGCTTAATAAAATTGTTGACTATTAAGTGTGAAACGATTTATTTTGTACTGGTAATAGTACAAGAAAATAAAAACTGAGGACTGTCCCACAAAACCCATGTGAGAATCAGACTCTATTTCATATTCAATTTATGTTTGGAACTTACACACATAATGGAACTGCCTGTGTGCATAAAATGTAAATACTGTAATGATGGCAAATATTTACATTACTTAAAAATAAAAGCACTTACAGTTTTTCCAGTTTCTTTAATGATCTGAGGTTCTCTATACATGATATACAATTGTTTTGTAGATACAGGTGAGTCAGATTTGTGGCAAAATTCAAGTTAGTGATTTGACTAATACGGTTATCATATAAATATAAAACACTAAGATTTTTGCAAGGAGAGAGATTTTCCTAAAAGGAAAACAGAAACAAGTCACATTTAATTTCTCCTGAAAACTTTTTAAGTTTGTTTTTAAGGAAGTTTTTCACTTGATCATTCTGCAAATATATAAAAGAACAGCATTTTTCTGTACTTAGCACAGTCAAAACAAAACTACAGAATGATAACAAAATTAGTTCTAGGCTTTTGTGTTATGTAATTATATTTAAAAATGTATTTATTAAAAATGATTTTCCCAGTGCAAACTATTCTTCTTGGAAACAATTAGGCTCTTCTGGAAGTTGAAGCATTTAGCAAATTATTGCTCCAGTATTATAAATCAAGACTTAATCTTTCTGTAGAATTGGAAATAAACTGTCTTTGTTTATCATACTGAAAAACTGGAAGCCATCTAAATGTTCAAGAATAATGGATTAACAAGGAAACTATGATACTGGTACAGAAAGGAATACCATAGAACCATTAAATATTTAGTTTCTTTAGTAATATCTTATAGATTCCATATTACATAATTAAGTGGAAACAGTACATTCTGACTCACTATTGTGAAATTATGTGCATACATGCCCAGAAAACAGGCTGGAGGGACATCACTTAAATGTTAATAGCGATTATCTCTGCATGGTAGGATTACACATTAATTTATTTTTATTTGTTTTATACAAATGCTCACCACTTTTTTTTTTTGTACTTTAGATGAAGGTTGACAGAACAAACTAGCTTCTTATTAAGCAGTACACATATCGTTTTATGACGTTGGTTACCAACACCACGACATGTCAACACTCTCCCTTCTTGACCTTGGGTTCCCTATTACCAACCTTCCTGTCCCCTCCTGCCTTCTAGTCCTTGCCCCGGGGCTGGTGTGCCCCTTTACTCTTGTTTTCTTTTATGGGCCTGTCTAATCTTTGGCTGAAGGGTGAATGTCAGGAGTGACTTCATTACTGAGCTAAACAGGTGTCCAGGGGCCATACTCTCGGGGTTTCTCCAGTCTCTGTCAGGCCAGTAAGTCTGGTCTTTTTTGTGAGTTAGAATTTTGTTCTACACTTTTATCCATCTCTGTCTGGGACCCTCTATTGTGATCCCTGTCAGAGCAGTCAGTGGTGGTAGCTGGACACCATCTAGTTGTACTGGACTGAGACTGGTGGAGGCCGTGGTAGTCCTTTGGACTAATCTTTCCCTTGTGTCTTTAGTTTTCTTCATTCTCCCTTGCTCCCAAAGGGGTGAGACCAGTGGAGTATCTTAGATGGCCAGTCACAGGCTTTTAAGACCCCAGACACTACTCACCAAGGTAGAACGTAGAACATTTTCTTTATAAACTGTGTTATGCCAACTGAGCTAGATGTTTCCAGAGACCATGGTCCCCATAGCCCTCAGCCCAGCAATTCAGTCCCTCAGGGAGTTTGGATGTATCTATGGAGCTTCCATGACCTTGCTTTGGACAAGTTGTACTGGCTTCCCCAGTATTGTGTACTGTCTTACCCTTCACCAAAGTTATGACTTATCTATTTAGTGTTTTTCCATCCCCACCCCTCCCCTCCCCCATAACCATCAAAGATTGTTTCTTTTGTGTGTGTAAACCTCTTCATGAATTTTTATAGTAGTGGTCTCATACAATATTTGTCCTTTTGTGATTGACTTATTTCACTCAGCATAATGCCTTCCAGATTCATCCACGTTGTGAGATACTTTGCAGATTCATCATTGTTCTTTATCGTTGCTTAGTACTCCATTGCGTATATTTACCATAGTTTGTTTATTCATTCATCTGTTGATGGGCATCTAGGTTGTTTCCATCTTTTTGCTATTGTGAACAATGCTGCAATGAACACGGGTATGCATATGTCTATACGTGTGACGGCTCATATTTCTCTAGGATATATTTCTAGGAGTGGGATTGCTGGATGATATGGTATTTCTATTTCTAGCTTTCTAAGGAAGTGCCATATCATTTTCCAAAACGGTTGTATCATTTTGCATTCCCACCAGCAGTGCGTACGAGTTCCGATCTCCCCGCAACTTCCCCAACATTTGTTATGTTCTGTTTTTTTGATTAGTGCCAGTAATGCCAGGGTGAGATGGTATCTCATTGTGGTTTTGATTAGCATTTCTCTAATGGCTGGTGATCGTGAGCATTTCCTCGTGTCTGTTAGCCGCTTTAATGTCTTCTTTGGTGAAGTGTCTGTTAATTTCCTTTGCCCAATTTTTAATTGGATTATTTGTCTTTTTGTTGTAGAGGTGTTGGATTTTCCTGTAGATTTTAGAGATTAGACCTTTGTCGGATTTGTAATTGACAAAATTTTTTCTTCCCAGTCTGTAGGTTCTCTTTTTATTCTTCTGGTGAATTCTTTTGATGAGCATAAGTGTTTAATATTTTTAGAAGATCCCAGTTATCTAGCTTATCTTCTGAAGTTTGTGTTTTGAAAGTTATGGTTTGTATCATGTTAATGCCATGTATTAAGGCCTCTAGCGTTGATCCTATTTTTTCTTCTATGATCTTTATAGTTTTGGGCTTTATATGTAGGTCTCTGATTCATTTTGAATTAGTTTTTTGTGTATGGTGTGAGGTATGGGTCCTGTTTCCTTTTTTTTGCCGATGGACATCCAGTTTTCCCAGCACCATTTGTTAAAACGACTGTCTTTTCCCCATTTGATGGACTTTGGGCCCTTGTTGAAGATCAGGTGATTGTAGGTGGATGGATTTACATCTGGGTTCTTGATTCTGTTCCATTGGTCAACGTATGTCATTGTACCAGTACCAAGCTGTTTTGACTACCATAACTGTATAGTAGGTTCTGAGGTCAGGTAGTGCAAGTCCTCCTACTTTATTCTTCTTCAGTAGTGCTTTACTTATCTGGCGCTTCTTCCCTTTCCAAATAAAGTTAATGATTAGTTTTTCCATCTCTTTAAAGATGGTATTTGGATTGGGATTGCCTTGTATTTGTAAATTGCTTTGGGTAGAATTGTCATTTTCACAATGTTGAGTCTACCTATCCATGAGCATGATTTTTCCATTTATGTAGATTTCTTTTGGTTTCTTGCAGTAGTGTTTTGTAGTTTTCTTTGTATAGGTCTTTTACATCCCTGATTAGATTTATTCGTAAGTATTTTATTTTTTGAGGGGCTATTATAAATGATACTGTTTTCCGGATTTCCTTTTCATTGTTCTCTTTATTGGTGTACAGGAATCCAACTGATTTTTGTATGTTTATCTTGTATCCTCCTACTCTGCTGAATCTTTCTATTAGTTCCAATAGTTTTCTCATGGAGTCTTTTGGATTTTCTATGTATAGTATCATATTATCTGCAAATAGGGACAGTTTTACTTCTTCATTACCAGTTTGGATGCCCTTTATTTTTTTTTTCTTGCCTTATTGCTATAGCTAGGACTTCCAGCACAATGTTAAATAGGAGAGGTGATAAAGGGCATCCTTGTCTTGTTCTGTTCTCAAAGGGAATGTTTTCAGCCTCTCTCCATTAAGAATGATGTTGGCTGTTGGTTTTGTATAGATGTCCTTTATTATGTTGAGGAATTTCCCTTCTATACCTATTTTATTGAGAGTTTTTTATCAGGAATGGGTGTTGGACTTTGTTGAATGCCTTTTGTGTTGATTGAGATGATCATGTGATTCTTTTCCTTCCTTTTATTTATGTGATGCATTATGTTGATTGATTTTCTAATGTTGAACCACCCTTGCATACCTGGTATGAATCCTACTTGGTCATCGTGTTTTGTTTTGTTTTTTTTGATATGATGCTGAATTCTATTGGCTAGAATTTTGTTGAGAATTTTTGCATCTATATTCACGAGAGATATTCACCTGTAATTTTCTTTTTTTGTGGTGTCTTTGCCTGGTTTTGGTATCAGCATTATGTTGGCTTCATAGAATGAATTCAGAGTATTGCTTCCTTTTCTATGTTCTGAAATAGTTTGAGTAGTACTGGTGTAAGCTCTTCTCTGAATGTTTGGTAAAATTCTCCAGTGAAGCCATCTGGACCAGGGCTTTTTTTTGTTGGGAGTTTTTTTTATTACCTTTTCAGTCTTTTGTTATGGGTCTGTTCAGATTTTCAACATCATTTTGTGTTAGTCTGGGTAGGTAGTGTGTTTCTAGAAATTTGTCCATTTCCTCTAAGTTTTCAAATTTGTTGGAGTATAGTTTTTCATAATACTCTGTTATCCTTTTTGTTTCAGTTGGGTCTGTTGTAATGTCCCCCATTTCATTTCTTATTTGAGTTATTTGCAGCCTCTCCTGTTTTTCTTTTTTGTCAGTCTGGCCAGTGGTTTGTCAATTTTGTTGATCCTTTCAAAGGCTCAAACTTCTGGTTTTGTTGATTCTTTCTATTGTTTTTCTATTCTCTATTTCATTTGTTTCTGCTCTGATCTTTATTATTTCCTTTCTTCTGGTGGCTGTGGGCTTCTTTTTCTGTTCTCTTTCTATTTGTTCGAGTTTTGTAGCTAATGTTTTGATTTTGTCCCTTTCTTCTTCTTCGATGTGTACATCTATTGCTATAAATTGACCTCTGAGGACTGCCTTTGCTGTGTCCCAAAGGTTTTGGTATAATGTGTTTTCATTCTCATTTGATTCTAGAAATTTTTTGATTCCGTCTCTGATTTATTCTATTACCCAGTGGTTTGTAAGCAGGGTGTTATTCAGTTTCCATATAATTGATTTTTTTTCCTTGCTCTTCGTGTTGTTAATTTCTACTTTGATGGCGTTGTGGACAGAGAAGATACTTTGTATTATCTCAGTGTTTTTTGATTTTGTTGAGGGTTGCTTTGGGGACTAAGATGTGGTCTCTTCCGGAGAGCGTTCCATGTGAGTTGAAGAAGAATGTATACTTTGCTGCTATTGGGTGGAGTGTTCTCTATATGTCTATGCGGTCAAGTTGGTTTATTGTGGCCTTTATATCTTCTGTATCTTTGCTGAGTTTCTTTCTACATGTTCTGTCCTTTACTGAGAGTAGTGTGTTGAAGTCTCTTGCAACTGTCAATTTTTCTTTTCATTGCTGTTAGTTTGTTTTATGTATTTTGGAGCCCTGTCATTGGGTGCGTAGATATTTATTATGGTTACATCTTCATGATGGATCGTCCCTTTAATCGTTATATACAGTGTCCTTCGTCTTTTATTGTGGATTTTGTTTTAAAGTCTATTTTATCTGACATTAGGATTGCCATTCCTCCTCTTTTTAGGTAGCTGTTTGTTTGATATATTTTTTTCCATCTTTTGATTTTTAATAAATTTACATCTTTGTTTCTAAGGTATGTCTCTTGTAGACAGCATATTGATGGATCCTGTTTTTGAATCCATTCCGTCACTGTCTCTTTATGGGTGCATTTAGGCCATTTACATTCAGTGCAATTATTGGTAGGTGTGTCATTGCTGACATTTTGTAGTGCTTTTTTTGTGGTGCAGATGTTTTCTTTGTTCCTCTTACTCTCCTATACTGAATTCCTTTTGTTTGTGGAATTTTTGTTTTGTTTTGTTTTTGTAGGTTTTGTGTTTATTGAGACTTTATGCTTTTCTTCTTTATTTTGATGAGCAGGTTTGTTAACTTTCTTTGATGAGTAGGTTGTTAGCTTCCATTTTTTGTCTATAATTTACCCTTATCTGTAATTTTGTCTTGAAATTCACCCTTATCTTCCTAGGTTTGAACCATTATATTATTAATATTGCGTTGTCTTCCTCTCATTAGAAAACTCTATAGCTACACCGTTTATTCCCTCTTTTGTTGTTCTGATGTTGTTGTCATCTACAGCTTAACCTCCCTGGTTCTCTGTTGTAAATCTTTTGGTTTTGAATAGTCCTTGAGAGTTCATTTCCTAGGTTGGTATCTGACTGGTGCGATCGTGTGTCCCAGATTCAGACTGTGGTCTGATGTTGTTTATTCTCAAACCGAAGGACTCCCTTTAATAATTTTTTAAAGTTTGGTTTGGTTTTTACATATTCCCTTAATTTCACCATCATATTTGAATAAGAGTTTTACAGGCTATATTATTCTTGGCTGGCAATTTTTTTTCTTTCAAGGATTTATATATGTCATCCCATTGCCTTCTTGCCTGCATGGTTGCTGCCAAGTAATCAGAGCTTATTTTTATTGTTTCCCCTCTGTGACTTTTTGTTTTTCTTGAGCTGCTCTCATCATTCTGTCTTTGTTTTTGGTTTAGTGAGTGTGATTATGATGTGCCTTGGTTATTTTCTTTTGGTGTCTGTCCTACATGGGATTTGTTGAGCTTCTTGGATGGTCAGCTTTTCATCTTTCATGACATTAGGGAAGTTTTCTGTCAGCAATTTTTCAATGATCCTCTCTGTTTTTTCTGTTTTCTTCCCTGGTTCTGGAACTCCGATCACTTGCAAATTTTTGCTTTTCATTGTATCCCACATAATTCTCGGGGTTTCTTCATTTTTCTTCATTCTTTTTTCTGATTTTTCCTCAAAGTTGTATCCAAGTGTTTGTCTTCAGTTTTGCTGATCCTGTCTTCCATTGTGTCAAACCTGCTTCTCAGCCCATCTATAACACTTTCCATCTCTGAAATCTTGTTTATCTTTTGGATTTCTAATTGTTCTTTTTGTATGATTTCTAGTTGTGAATTTATTTTGGCATTTTGTTCCTGTATTATTTTCCTGAATTCTTCCAGTTTTTTGCCTGTATTTTCCATGGATCTGGATATACAGGATAGCTCTGAATATCAGAGATTTGAATTCCCTGTCAGGTAGTTCTAGTGCCTTTTCTTCTACTGGAAAGTCATCTGGTGTTTTTGCACACCTACTAGAACCATCCTGTCCTGTTTTTTTAATATGTTTTGATAGTGTCTGCTGTCTTTGGGACATTCAGTAGTTATTTTCTTCATTTATTGATTGTAGATTTGTTTGTTTCGTCTTGCTTTTTTGTTTTATTTGGTTATGTCTGAGCAGGTGGGTTGTGCATTCTTGGTTGTTAGCTTATCTGTGGGCATGATACTTTTCACCTCCTTGTCCAATGGGCAGGGCCAGTTGCTCAGCTATGGTGTAGCAGGGCAGGTCCAGCTGAAGGGGAGGGGCTGGGATGGGTTGTTTGAGGCACATACTGTGGCTGACAGGGCGGGCCAGCGATCAGTGCAGGACAAGTTCTGATAGGTCATGACTGTACCGCTCGGGGGTGTGATGTTCAGCGCACACCACTTACTTTTAAAGTAAGAAAATAAAGCCATTTTAAAAAGACTGTCATTTCTAGTGTGGTGGTAGAGTAAGCCTAGAGTAAGTCAGCAAGAGGTAGAGTGAAGTCCTGCTCAAATATATCTCAGCCTTCATTAAGTTAACACAATCTTTTAAAATACAACCACATCTTGGGAATTTTAAGTTTACAAGTTTTTCATTCTTTAATATGAATTACTTTAGCCAGTTTGCTTTCTTCCTAGCAGAGGTCATCCACACTGAAGGAAGATTGATTAACAGGCATTAAATGGGGCTCCTGGGGCAAAGAAGTCTCTATCTGGTATGATGAGGTGGAGAGCTCTCAATAACAAGACAAACACTAGGATTTGGGTAATTGGATTCACAGGGAGAAAGATCATCAGGAAATTAAAGAGGTACATACACTGGCAGTTGGGTTGGCTTCCTGCAAAAACCAAGCATTCTGCAATTGACAGTTTTGCCTGGTGCTTTGGTGTTTCATTCATTCATTCAGTAAATATCTATTAAGCTCTTAATATGAGTCAGGCACTGTATTGGATGGGGATATAGAGTGATGTGAACAAAACAGGCATGATACCTGCTGTCAAGTAACTTATAGTCATCCCTGTTTCCAAGAAAATTCCTCTCTTCAATAGACTTTAGATTTTAATGTAGACATTGGATACCAGTACAAAGAGTTATTGCAGTCTTTAAAATTTTCCAAATTAAAGCCAAGAATTAGCTTAGCACTGAGAAAATGTAGTTTCAGAGTATATGCAAATAATCTTGTCAGATATAATTGATCCAGTAAAATATATATGTATACAACCAGTTAAATTATGTGTGAAAAAGATATCACTGTTAAACTTTTGAAATATGGTACTCACATAGATTAATTCTTAACAGTTTGATATGTGAAAAATATATTCTATTCTGAGGTTTTGGAACAATACAAAAGTAATTATCTTTGAAATTATTTTACAAAGTATAATTTCAAATTTAGTATTTTAGGGGAACATTGATGTATATATTTAGCATACAGATATTTAAAAATCACAATGGTATATTTTCTAGAGACTTAATTTTAATAATAGTTTAATATTACAAATAGGAAATTAAAATGAAAATACAAATCAAAGCTTACTAGTTAAAATGTAGCTATAAGTAAAAATCAAAATATAATTAATAAGGTATGCCCTCACATCAATTTATAACTTAACATTGTTAATTATATGAAAATGGGAGATAAATTTAGAGTTCTTACAATTGCATCTATATTTTTATCTGAAAAATTTATGTGAGTTATCTTCTTCAGGTACTGTGAAATAACTTCTTCTCTCCGGGGCTTAAAACTGCTGTTTTTGGCAATTAGATCCACGGTCAGTCGAACCATGATTCCTCTATAAATCAAAACCACAGCAATGGATCTGTTCTGATACCATGTCAAAAAGCAGGTTTAGGTATGGTTTATCCTCAACTTTCTAAAAATTAAAGAATAAAAGGAGTATTACGATATCACATAGTAATTTAGGAAAAATGATTTTTACTTTTAAATTTTCTTATATAAAACTATAAACTAGTTTATAGACTTTTTAGGGACATTTGGGTATTGTCATGGATTGAACTGTGTTCCCCCAAAATATGTGTCAACTTAGTTAGGCCATGATTCCCAGTATTGTGTGGTTGTCCTCTACTTTGTGACTGATGTAATTGTATGTGTTGTAAATCCTAATCTCTGCCTGTGGTTAATGAGGCAAGATTAGATTATGTTAAAGAGGATTAGGGTGGGATGTAACACCTTTACTCAGGACATATCCCTGATTCAATGTAAAGGGAGTTTCCCTGGGGAATGGCCTGCATCACCTTTTATCTTAGGAGAGATAAAAGGAAAGGGAAGCAAACAGAGAGTTGGGAACCTCATACCACCAAGAGAGCAACGCCTGGAGCAGAGCACGTCCTTTGGAACCAAGGTTCCTGTGCAGAGAAGCTCCTAGACCAGGGGAAGATTGATGACAAGGACCTTCCTCCAGAGCCGACAAAGAGAGAAAGACTTCCCCTGGAGCTGGTGCCCTGAATTTGGACTTGTAGCCTACTAGTCTATGAGAGAATAAACTTCTGTTTGTTAAAGCCATTCACTTGTGGTATTTCTGTTATAGCAGCACTAGATGATTAAGACAGGTATTTTCTAAGTTTATAGCCTTAATGCTCCTTATAAAAAGATTTAAAAACACCAAAATTAATTAATTTACAAAACTCATTCACTTTTTTACAATTCTTTTTTTTTTTTTAATTGTAGTGAAAACTCATTCACTTTTACTTTTAAATGTTTTCCTCTCCCTGAGTAATACTGAACTGTTATTGTAGGACATCTTTTAAAAGAATCATTCTTGTCTAAGTCAAGAAATTCCTCAAGGAAAATTGTCCACTGTTCTCATTGCATTTTGTAAAGAAAGAAAGGCCCAGAGATTTGTCTCAAACCATTCTAGCTAGTGGTACTTGAGAAAAGAACCAGGATTCCTGGCTCCTCTTTCCGTAATATCCATGGTGACCATATTTCCTAAACCCCAGAGTCAGAACATGTAGTGTGAAGATGTTGAGTGTATATATAGGGCAGTGGTGTAAAATATTTGAAAATGGAGCTGGCCTAGAAATTTTGTTATATACAGTGAGTACAATTATTAATCCATAAGGAGGCAAATAACATAGTATTTCTCAATCCAGACTGCCTGGGTTCAAATTTTGGCTTCACTAATACTTATTAGGCAATCTTGGGAATGCTACCTCAGTTTCTTATAAAATGAGGATAATATTGGTACCTACTTCTAAAGGATATCGTGAGGATTATATGAGATAATTATATTTAGAGTGTTCTACACAGTGCCTGGTCCGTAGGTCAATAAATGTTTGCTATTATTATTGTTATTCTGCTATTGCTTTGTTAACAGATAAAGTTATCTTTACTGTTTTACCTGGAACATATCAGGGTTGTTAAATAGGGAAAAAATTATATTAATAAAAATACCAATTTATGTAAGATACCCTTAAGTTTTAAATAACCCATTTTTTTCCAGTCACCCAGGAAGGGTAGCTATTTATGTGATAACTATCCCACAGTTTTCCCAGTTGTATTAAAAATGTAACAAAAAAATGAAGTTTAAAATTGAGTATTATTATTTCAATGTATCTGCATTTTCACTAACCATATGCCTCAATTTGTGTGATAGTTTGGACATGAAATCAATGCTTAGAAGGAAAAAAGGAATTCAGTAGTAGATAAATTAAATCTGTGTCCTCATACATTGGCATATATTTACCTGTACCTTGTTATATAAATTGCCCATAATAAAATATTTGAGTATATGAAATATATCATTACTGTTCAGAATGCAAAATATAATTTGTTGTTGTCATTAGGTGCCCTTGAGTTGGTTCCAACTCATAGTGGTCCTGTGTACAACCAAACAAAATACTGCCTGTTCCTGCACCATCCTCACAGTCCTTGTTATGTTTGAGCCCATCCTTGCAGCCACTGTGTCAATCCATCCTCTCACCATCCTCACTTCCAAGGATCACTCTGACTATACTTCTTCCAATACAGACTTGTTCGTTCTTCTGGCGGTCCATGGTATTTGACAATACCATAATTCAAAGGCATCAATCCTTCTTCAGTCTTTCTTATGCATGTTTATATATAGATATAACCTTATATATATCTTATATAAAACCTTATATATATATATATATAATCTTATATATATTATGTATATTTATATATATATATAAAATATTATCGTGGTAAAATATATAACACAAAATTTGCTACTTTTAAGTGTACAATTCAGTGACATTAATTACATTCACCATGTTGTACAACCATCACCACTATCTATTTCCAAAAGTTTTTCATCATTCCAAACAGAAACTCAATACCCCTTCAGCAATTACTCTCCATTGAGCCCCTGGTAACCACTAATAAACTTTGGTCTCAATGCATTTGCCTATTCTAGATGTTTTCTATATATGAGATCATAATGTGTCTGACTTATCTCACTTAGCACAATGTTTTCAGAGTAATTACTGATGAAGGATTTACTTCTGCCATTTTGCTATTTGGTTTCTGTGTGTCCTATACCTTTTCTGTCCCTCATTTCCTCCAGTACTGCCTACTTTTGTGTTTAGCTGATTTATTTTTTGTAGTGAACCACTGTGATTCCCTTGTTTCCTTTTGTGTATATTTTTTAGATTTTGTGTGTGTGTGTGTGGTTATCATGGTAATCATGTGGTTACTAAACCAAGATGAGCACCTTGCTTCAGTCCTTCAGGTAGCCCCTAGACTGGTTAGAACAGACACATAAAATAATTTGCAAGTAAAGTCTGCTGTGCTCCCTCTAGATCCATGCTCCCTCTCTGGGAGTGCAGGCTGCCTTTAATGTGGCCATGCCAAGGTGGGGAGAGGGTGGGGTGCCGGTGAGTAGCAAACCAAAGCTTTCCTACCGATTATATGTCACCTTTTTCTTGACTCAGTGTTCACTTATTTGCTGTAACCCTTTGTTTGGTTTCCAGAGTTCTGACAAAGTTGGTTCTGTAAGTTTCTGCCTTTTTTTTTTTGTTTTTTTTTGGTGTTTTTGTGGAGGGACAAGAGCATGCAGTTGCTCATGCCACCATTTTCCTCCAAACTTCTCTCAGTAGTTCTATTATTTTCTTCATTAAGGCTGTGAATAAGTTTTTAATAATTATTCTTGAGGATCAGATACTTTTGTTTAGGCATTAATTTTTCTGTTTGTAGCTAGTATACAGAAATGTAATATTTTAAAAATATTGATCTTATATCCAATAACTTGCTAATGACTCTTATTAACCTAATAATTTGCAGTTTCTTGTATTTTCCATGTAGACAATCAGATCATATATAAATGACAGTTGATTACTTTCAATCCTTTTATCTTTTTTTTTTCTTTTTTATTGTATTACTGCACTAGCTAGGGCCTTAATACAAAGTTGAAGAAGTAATGAGGATACATACTTGTCATATTGCTGGTTTCAAAGGAAATGCTTGCAACATTTCACTACAGGATGTCTGCAGTGAGTTTTTTTTTTTTTAATTAGTCATTCTCAGGCTAAGGAAGCTCTTTTCTATTCCTAGTTTGTAAAATACATATATATGTTTTGTAATGAATGGGTGTTTACTGTTATGATGTGCTTTTTTGTGCATTAGAACATGTGGTAAAACACATTAATAGATGTTCCAATGCTAAAATTTTCACATTCCAGGGATAAACCAAGCTTAATCAGGATCCCATTGCTAAGTCCATTCCAACTCATGACAACCCCACGTGTTACAGAGTAGAACTTCTCCATAGGGTGTTCTTGGCTATAATCTTTATGGAAGCAGGCCTTTCTTCCATAGCACTGCTGGGTGGGTTTGAACTGCCAACTTTCAAGTTAGTAGCTGAGAGCAAACCATTTGTGCCACCCAAGGACCTTTCAGTCAGAATAACATATATATACAAATGAATAAAGTTTCTAATTTTACTTAGGATTTTTGCACCTATGCTTAGGAGGGAGAGTGACTACTAATTTTCTTTCTTATACCATCTGGGCTTGGTTTTGGTATCAAGGTTATTATTAACCTCATAAAACCAGCTGGGGAATTTTCTGCTTTTTCTTCCTTGAATGTATGGTTGAACTCTCCTGGAGAACCATCTAGACCTGATGGGTTCTTTTTTTCAGGAGGAAGTAGTTTCAGGAGATAAATGTTAAACTACTGTTTTAGTTTCTTTAATAATTATAGGTCCATTCAGATTTTCTATTTCATCTGGAATCAGGAGAAATTTATTTTTGGGAAGTTCTTCTTTTTTTTTTTTTAATAGGAAATTAACCTTTCTAAGTTTTAATTTTGTTGGCATAGAGTTCTTCTATTATATAATATTCTTATTTTTCCAATCTCTCTGCTGCTCTTCACCTTTTCTTTTCTAATATAGCTTCTCTTGTAGTTCTTTTATTTTCTTGATTAATCTTGTCAGTTTTATATTAAATAAGCTTGTCTGTTTTATTAGTACATTCAAAGAGAACCAGTTTCAGCCTTGTTGATCATCTCTACCTTATATTTGGTTCAATTTCATTAATTTCTGTTTTTATCTTTTTAAAATTTCTTTCCTCATAACTTTAGGTTTAGTTTGTCCTTTTTCTAAAGTCTAAATGTAGATGTTTGCCTCATTACTTTCCAGTCTTTCTTCTTTTCTAATACAAATATTTGAGGTTAGAATCCTCTAAGTACTACTTCAGCTGATTCCATAAGATGTGATATTTTCATTATAGATCAGTTATTATATTCTAATATCCATTTATGACTTTTTGGCCCATATTTTAAAATTTTAGTACTTTTTCTGGAAATTAAAAATATTTTTATTACACTGATAACTGAGGTGAAAATGCACATTTTATAGAGGCTGTATACTTACTCTCATGGGACATCTCAGTC